CTTTCGTATGTTCAAGCGGGCTCTTAAGTCTCGAATTAGTAAAGCAGCGAGTGGTCGGTAATCGTATGTTTGCTTACAATTGCAAACGCCGCTAATACCGCTGAGTATCTGCCAATATACACTTTGCTCGTTTTGCTTTCAATTTAATTGGTATTTTGTTTGTTCAACTATTAAATTGGATTATGTTAGAAGTTATCCAAGTTGTTTGTCGTTCTCGACTGCAGTTAGACAAACCGGTTAGAAGTTTATATTACTTATGCTTATTAATTTTGCGCTTACAATATCGAGTATTCTTACGTTAGATGTTGTGCAGACGTTGCAATAAACGTGATTTGACACATTTAAAGAAATGAAGGTAAATAAATATAAAGTTATGAGGCAATAAAACGTGCGATGTAAAACGTCTTGGTGGTTTCGCGTAACAAACTCGCCGGTGCTATCGACTGCAATCGATTTCCCAGAAATAGCCGCGGGCGTTTGACAGGCTTCCGCGCCGCAATGAATGTTGCACGCCGCGCCGCCCGTGTATGCCACCCCTTAATATTTAATGTCTAACTAACATTTCTATGACGGTGAATGTGCGGCTGTAATTTAAAATGCAACGTAAATGTGACACGGAGTATTATTTCCATGTCTTTGGTTCTGGTATGAACCCAACATTTGCAGTAGATTATGTACAGACATATAGACGTTCTCTTTGTATGTTAAAGTAACGATATTCGTAGACATTTAGAAGAAAAACGATTACTATTTTTCTATTGTTTATAGCCATTAAAGGCCGATGTCGTAAAGACGACTGCAGCATGTCGTAAACATTGATAAACGGAAACGTATTTTCTATTTGGTCGACACGTTTTATCGAATATTTTAAAGGGCATTGAGGTGAGAATTTTGCATTACATTTGAGAATATCGTATCGTTATAAAGGTGTGCAATACGGCGGCGGTCGGGGTGCGGTAATGCTGCAGGTACCGCTTATCGACGCGACGCGACGCGACGACTCGATCGCTTATATCTGATTTGAATTTCGCGCATTACAGCCCATCAAGACGCGTCCCTCCTCTTCACCCTCTCAGTAAACACTCCAACACTTTAAGTAACCGTGCCGAAACTCAACGGAAAACGTCGACTCGCGCTTATCTTATTTCTTCGAACAACAGTTACGTAAATATGGAAAGAGCTCCCGGGGTGCGGCAGAGTATTTCATTATCCGTGACCTGTTGAGCGCAAGATTTGTGACTCATCTCCTTTACGTAACGTCGTACGTTCGCTGTAGGATTTTTCTTCAGAGCTGTCTAGTTATCTCGAATATTTGTGTACTAGGTATTTTCCAGCAGTCTCTTAAATGCTAATGCAAGATGTTTATGCCACATTTTCGCTATTTTAAAAGCAGTATCAGGGTTTTATTCAAAAGTGAATTCTAGTTGTTATTGAGTCAGCTTCATGTGAGCGTACTCTTAGAATTTTATCTCGGTAAATATGTAATTCTGGAGCTGTTACCTCGGCTCCGGTTCCCACGCTCCGGCTTCCGCTTAGCGGCAATCAGGGCCAGGCTTGCGACGCTCTGTCAATACGAAGGCGAGAGGTTTCCCTGATAAACTTATCTAGCGAGCACGCTCTCCTCCCCCCCATTCACCCCTCCCTAACCCTTCCCCCTGTCGTCTCCGTTTATCTCTCACGTATGTTCGTACGCTACGCCCGCACCGCATTACTCTCAGCAAAGTTGCTTGCTTAGTACTTTCTTGACTTTTTATATCCACTGCGTTAGGCCGCTAATATGAAAATCGTCTCACATTTTTAGGAGAAAGCGTCTAGTCTCCTTTTACTAAGCTCGTTTTCGAATTCAAATCAAAATGCCACTCGTTCATAGCGCCAATTTATATTCGTTTAGGAAGAGCCGAGTTATTTTATCCTTTTATAAAGTTGTCTATTTGGCCGGGTGCCCGTAATAGTGGTCCACAACTAAAAGAAATAAAGATACAAAGAAACAAACGCAAAATCCTATAAAATGCATTTAACGTCAACACACATGCGAGTGTTTCCGAAAAGTGTGTAGTTTAAATCTTGCTTTATTTTACACTTCTTTTAGATAAGAAAAAGTAACAAGATTCGGAATACTGTAACGTTGGAATTTATTTGTGCAACTGGACGTTGGTATCGGGCAGTGTTTCCCGGTGCGATACAGTAACAAACACCCATAACTTTGTATCGTTTTACAACACCATCGCTTAATCTAAGCGTCTTTGTTCGGAAGGTCCCGCCACGGCCCGCCCAGCAATAACTCATCGGCACCCACAATATTACACACCACAATACCCTATACAAATGAATAAAATGGTAATTTCACCTTTTATCTCTCGAAATGTAAACGTTTCACCTGAAGAGTTCTTAAATTTATTTTAGACATTTATATTTTTTAACTTTTATGTTCAATAAAAGGTAAACGTGAAGTGAAAACTCCAGCATTGTTCTCGCGACAGTGACAAAAAATTACATTAATTGTAAGAAACTTAATAATTTATTAATGTATAAACAGGCAGCCTTCCGAGAAATACAAAATCAATGTTCTTAAAAGGTAGGCACGATTCTTCTCCGTTGAATTTATTGACATTACTGTTTTACCTTAAAAGGTTTTCACTCAAAATCAATCGAGCGAAAATTTAATGACTGCTTTCAGATTCGTATTAATTCAGGTTTACGTGCGAATGTTCAGTCGAGGTGGTGGAGCATAAAACGCTGTGTTTTCTCGCGAAACAATTAAATTCCTCATACATCGATGGGATTAGGAGCATGTTTCCACGAGGTGGTTCGCTGAGGCCGCATTAAGCCATGCCGCACTGAAGCACATCTTAAGTCCGCTCGGTTAAACCGAGATCTTCGCGTCGGTGTCGAATACTACTCGATCGAGTCAGATCGATATATCGACGGGAGGGCGCGCCTACCTAGCGGGGGCTAAATACAATTTACCTTTGTTATTTTTCGTGTCATTAAACTGCGTCGCGATCTCGAACGCTTGATCGGGATTGCGAACTCCGATGCGAATTGTTTGTGAGCTTTTGTTTCCCACTCCGCTCGCCAGCGACGCGACATCAATTAACGTCGGATCCCCTCGCTGAATTTTCTTCATGGCTGTTCGTATTATTGTAGGTAGATTTAAAACGGAATCATTTTCCGCTGCTGATTACACAGAACAGATTGTGTTTTCGTGTTTCGTCTCGACTTCTCCATTCAATTAGATAGACCGTGTTACACGGAGGTGCATGTGACAGTATAACAAACGATGTTTCCTATCTGAGTTTTAAGTTAGGCTGGCATTTATCTGGCATGTCCCCTTGGTTGCGTGTTGCCGAACAAATGGGGGGTGGCCACGGCGCTGGCGGACGCTGCTGGCGTAGGCGCCTGTTCATTTGTAAAGCTTTATCGCTCCTGACAAATGGCGACACTCACTATTTTTATGTCGCGGACGATCGAAGAATACCGTTCATGCTACAGGACGATTTAGTACCGATATTCCTAACACAATTTCTACTGTATTTTTGGTGCAACAGCACTACTTCTTGATTTTATATTGTACTAGTTTTAGTATAATATCTCAACTTTCACATGCACCGTATGGCTAAGAACGTGCTTTATTATGTGCCGTCGTAATCTCAGTCCCCAAGTTTTATATTACGTGTTGATTATTCAGCCTTATCTAGGCATAAAACTTGGTGGAAAGACACTCAGCGCTGTAAAGCCTCGCTCACTCACTTCCCCACGTTAATGCAAAGGCACGTAGTTCCATGTCGACGCAGAAAGTTGTGCAAAGTGCACAAAGTGCGCGAACGGCGTGGCAAAGCCTTCATTTGTCGGCTTGTGACGGCCGCGTGACAAATGTGGACGCGAGTTTATGTACCCTCCCCCCCCCGCACCGAACGGGGACACGTCGCGATTATGCACCACTATGAAAAATGTAACTCAAGCGAGACTTTAAATGTTCCGATCTGTTCTTACCACATCATTTTTTAAATCGTCTCTGAAAAATGAACAACGCCCGAGTCATTCATTCGGCCGGCTTTAATTTAAGCCTATATACTTTTCTGTAATGTCGGCGCTCCGTAGCGAAAATTCTATTGCTAGAGGTTTAGGTTAGCGTAGATTGGGTAATTTATACTTGCCTCCAGCCCTCCCGTGCGGGGTGCGGGAGGAAGATACAAGCACTGAAGAGAGCCATGCTGTTCGTTAAAATTACTTAATGGATCGATTAAACGTAGGGTTTAATTATGAGGTACATTAATTTACTTTGGTTTTCGTAGTCCGTGGTGGAGCGTCGGGATTACGTTGATGCTTTATTTATTTATGGCCTCGCTTAAATTTGCCGATATTTTTCACAACTTAATCCACTTATTGAAAAATGTGTATATTTTTAAAATTCGACATCAACAGGTTTTGTCTCAGGTTTCGTTCGCAAACAAGTTATGAGATTCGACATAATGATAGCGAATAATTACATTGGAGCTCGTAAAATTTGTCGTGCTGTATAATAAGTATTCAATGATAAGCTCCTTGACTTGGTAAAGCAAATTAAAATTCAATTTGTTACTCGAACCGTGAAGCATAACGGATTGTCGACCGATTTCGTCGCCCCTTTTCTTCCATAATTTTGCGAGTCACCCGATCTTGAAGATATTTGCTTCATTCTGCTGACTTCAGTTATAGCTGAGAGTACAAACAATGAATGAAATACGACAGACGCGATAGCGAAAAGATGATGAATTGAAAAAATATATTATCAGTGATTGTATATTTTTTTGCGAATTTCCTTTCAAGATACTTTTGTTATTCAGCTGATCATTACGTACAATGAAGTCAGTAAAAATTCTAGAGATTTAATTCAATTTACTACAATAGTTAGTATTGTTATAACCCTGCACATATTACACATATGACAAGCCTCTATTTTTAGTAATGTAGATTTTTACTATAACATACCTATACTACAACGCGTTTGTTTGTTACAGGTGGAATGCAAAAAAGCACAACCGAAAGAAGTCATGCTCCCAGCTAATTTGGCCAAGACGAGAGCCGCTGGCCGCGGCGCGTACGGTGAGTTGCTAGGTAGCGGCGTGGCCGGCGCGGGCGGCGTGCGGTACGCGCCGTACCCGGTACACGCGCCCGCGCAGCTGCTGGTCGGCGCGGGCGCAGGCGCGGGCGCTCCCGGGGCCGCCGCGGCTGCCTACCGCCGCGCACTAGCTGCACTCCGCCCGACCCCGCGCCCCCCGCGCCCTGCGCTCGCGCCACTTGCACTTCCACCACTCACTTACTCTGTCTCTGAACTCCTCAACGCGCACGCGCTCGACATCCAGACCCTGTACTCCCCTCTCACTCACACCACGATCCCGACTCCTCTGCCCCTCTGATCCGCGATCCTCTTTCAGCAACATCCGCACCACCCCTTTTAGTTCGCTACCCGCTAGGGCTTCTCTAATTAGAAACTACAAATGATTCTTTATTGCATTCCTCTGCTGATACAGCTTTCCTAGTCCATTCCTAGCTCTTTCTTACATTCCTACTCTCTTCTCCTACCAAGCCAAAGTGACAACTTTAATGTACTTTAAGGAAACTGATAATATCCAAAGTGTCTTATTTTTAGTAATTGCCATTAGAATCAGTTAGTTAGCAGATTTTCGAAATGTGTACCAAAATAATTTAGAAGAGCTATAGAATCAGTTCTTATACAATAATTTATATAAATATTCATACATTTTCAAGAATAAGTAGAATGAAACCAGGAACAATTTTGCGTAGGGTTGATAGAGAGCAATATTTTTCTACCAGGTTGTAGGTGCTTAATTCTATTTGATTTACAATACATATACTTACATAGTTAGAAGATTTATAGTATTGAGCCTGGTATTTTCTGATTTCTGAGTAGCTTTTTAATATGAAATATTTACGTGGACCTTTTGGTCCGAATGATTCTTGCCAATTTTGCTACACTTCCATCCATGAAGTACTTAATGTTTAGCGCCAAAGCATAGAATGTCATGACTTGCGGACGAGTGACGGTGTTGTTTGACAATATTTTCATAAATTATATATTAAATCCTAGCTCTACCATGATTAGCGTTTCAGCTTGATGTCGGCTTTTCAAAAATGTTATCAGTGGAAGGAAAGAGGTACTTATTATGTGGATGTTTCTTATCAGTTTTATGGAGATCATTAGACATTTTATTTATTTATGTTGATTTTATTTACAATACATTGTTTGTAAAGAAATATTTATATTAGGTAAATCCAAATTTCCATTAAATTATTGTGTGTCCATAGTCTTGTGATAAAATTAGGTAATCTATATAATTTAATCCTTACTCTTTACATATATATTTATATAATATTGTGCAATGCAGTTACGACTAAACATATGTTCACTATTAGTTTATATTTAGTTGTAAACCTTCCGACTCTTCATGATTAACTGTTATTGGTTTAACAGTAAGATCTATCTTGATACTCCCAATGTTTGTATTACGAACATAGCTCTCGTAAACTAATAGTATTAATTGTACTTATTAACTTATTAAGTAGGTAATTTGGTAGTATTTAGAATTAATAAATTCATTTCTAAAATATTTAAAAATGTTTGTTTGTTTAACATGTTTAGTTCTAGACTAACAATGTGTAGAATAGATTAACATTGTCGAGTGAAGGGACATCATCTGATGCGATGATCAGTATAACTAACATACCCCATTATCTGGAGTCACTTTAGCAAATGTTTGAAAGTAGTCTGCCATTTAGAAATATATAGAATGCTCTTTATATAATTAGACATAGATATAATATATCATCATATAATACTCGTAAACTTTAAATTCTTCGCCAAGCAAAATAGTGTCTCAAGGCACATTTATATAATTGTTCTACTTAATATATAATCTTCGTAATCTATACATAATAAAACACACATATATAAATGTAAGGTGTAAGAATCGATCGATTTATGTAAATGTTTTTACATTTCTAGATTTCATGTGGTCATTGGGTGCTCTTCCTGATGGTAAGTGGTTTCACTTATTATATTTTGTCAACTGTCACTTCATATCTGCTATACCCTGCATCAGTCAGACCATCCCATTGTATGAAGTGTGCCACGCTTGTATACGACATTCGCAAGCGGACTATTCAAGTGCTAATCGGAGATACATGCCAAAACGGGTGATAGCAGTAATTAATTAACTCAGTAATTCAGTTAAAGTGTTCGACGGCGAGGCGGAGTAGATTCAATCAATGTTAGAGTCGCGCAGTGTGCGGTGGTCGCCCTGCCCCGACGTGCAGACGTGATGGATCGCGCCGCCTGACAGATACACTATTTTGATTGGCAATAATATGATAAACGATCCCGTATAGTAATCGTAGCAGCCGAGCACCGGCCATCATTCATTCCACATTTTATATCCAACTTCATTTTGTTATCGAAACTCATAGTACGCGCCCCGTTCACCGCCCGCCGTACTATTTGTTTCACATTAGACTTAATGACATGTTTTGACATAGAGTAGCATTTGTTTGTTGATATAATTCAGTAAGTTTGTTAATGAAACACTAGATATCTGTTACGGCAGTATGGAGCCGTTATTAGTCCACTTACACTGTGCTACATTAAACGATGTTTACAAAATATCATCCGCTGGACATTGTCCAAAGCAATGTCGTACCGAGCGTGTGCGATATACTTGCCTACCTTTTATGTGACGGCTCTATTTTAGAATTGGGCCACCGGGACACGTGTTACATACCGAATGTTTATATCGAACAATGAATCGCTATCGGCGACGCAGTATTTAAAAAGCAACGTTTCAAACATAACGCCGAATGAAAGCATGCGATTCGTCGATTAACCCCCGCTTGTCACCTCGAGTGCCACGTAATAACTTGTGTTTGTTTGTTGTACAGGGTTTCCAGCAGCGTACGCCGCCTACGCGGCAGGACGTAGCTATTCGGGCTATCCTAGCTTCGGGCTGCCATACCCTGCAGGTAATCCCCTGGCGAGCTTGCACCACCAACTGTCCGGCAATCACTACCACCACCTGGCGACTCTCCTGCCATACCACCCGCTCGAGCTCAGCGGGGTTTACAATGTACACGCCATGCATCTGTGAACTCGCGCCGCGACAATGCATTCCACTAACCGCTAACGTCTATCTCGCAGCCGACACCGACCCGCTTACTACTAACATGCTGCTCATTTACAAACTTAACTACGCATACGCTAATTTTCGTAATCTGCTGTGGTGACTATGTCCTAACTTCCCATTCCAACTAACTCGCCGAGGCAAAAGTTCGTGTGAACTCTCACTAACAACTTTACTAACAAGTTAACACCCCTAACAATGACTGAACCATCTAGATAAATCTGCCACGCTGTCAATTACAAAACGTCCATGTTTTGAGAAATGCTATTTATTGTTTATCTCCAGAATTTTGTCGCGACAATCCGGCCAATTGCGAGCGCGTCGCTCCATGTTTACAGACGATTCGCCCTAACGATTCTCAAATGCTACGCGTCGAGCAAACAAACACTAGCGCAAACACAGCTCGCCTTCGCTCGGCGACCGCTCCCCGCCTGCCCCTCCCGCTACTAGTATCGCACCATCGCCCGCTCCTCATTAACAGCGAAAGCTTTTAAAAGAGATTTAAACAGATTCAAACAAAAGTACTGAAAAAGTGACGTCCTTTTTGTGGTGACTTCTATGTAAATCTCGGGACGGACGAAAAAGAATTCCCACTAATTAAAAGTAGTCCACCGGCTTCCAGTCGATCCCGCCGAATGAGACTAGAATGTTAATTTTTATGCGGTTCTTATTGTTCTTTCGGGATTAGTTGGTCGCGTACTCGGAGAGAAATAACACTAGAGGCCGGTAGGCTGGCAGGCCGCGCGGCGGGGCGAGGCGCGGGAGCGGACGCGCTAGGTGAGTGCGGACCGCAGCTGCACAAACACTCTTCTCGTTATTTGTCCACACTCTGTGTTTGAGCTGCCTCCGCTCCACCATAATTACGCCACTAAGCTTTGGCTTTCCACTTTTTTCCCGGTTGGGGCGCACGCCGCGAGAATTTTTCGGTTGGACGCAGACGGAATCTAGAAACGTGAACACTATTAAAAATTGTAATTGAGCGCAGGACGCGAGTGAGGCCGGACCCTCGCCTCAGTCGGTGAACAACGATTGATGTTATCGTAGCGAGCCGGCCACCGCAACCGGTCAACTTTTTCTTTAGCATTAGCTGTACAAATCGTTCTGCGTTAATTACTTTTCAACCGCTTTACGACACGCTAGACAGACCCATCTCCTCGATGTTGGAAAAAATTGCGACCAACCGCTGAATTGTGAAATATAATTGAATAGCCAAAGAACCCTGTAATTACTCTGTCCAAAACAAGCATTCAATGTAATGACGTTCTCCAATTTACAACAACTGTAGCTAAACAATGTTCTTGACAAGTCTTGACTAGTCTTACAAACTTTATAAGAGCTATTCACAAAATTTGTTAGTTTACATGGGAACGAGCTTTACGCTAAATTAGTATCTATGTATATTTATGTGCATATAGTAATTTGCTCACAATTAGTTTGAGCCATTTCGTGCATTAGCATTCCTCACTCACTGGCTTAATAATTAATGGTGATTTAGATCACCAATACTATGTTGACCACAAATGATCAAACATTAAGTACATATTCGGTCAGGAGTCGGTTAATAAACTTTCAAGATTTGAATGTTAATATAAGGTCGGCAGCGCACCCCTAATATAATTTTATTATGAAGTAAAACGCGGTTACGTCCTTTGATGCAGCACATGCTATGACAAAGTGCCGTGCCGCTACGATCCACAACTTCGTCGCGCGCCTTTAATATGAACTAGTCGTTTCCTCCAACTTGGAAACGACTGCACGTACGGCTCCGACGAAGACAGTTTTCGAACGTACTCGTATAAACAACTTTGTTAGTCTCTAATGGGACGGAATTAATGTCAAATAATTTATGTTCCGCGGCGGCGCAGAACACTTTTCCCTAAGCCATATTTGTTAACATATTTCACAAGAAAATGCCATTAAATACGTCCCGAGGGAAGATAAAGCCGCTAGGGCATAGTTTACACGTAGTTACAAAGTACTTGACAAAATTTTTCATCGGCAGCTCGATGATCATCAGACGAGAAACGTTGGAGAAAAAGGTGTATACCGCCATCTTCTGAAACTCAAAATTATAAGTACCATGATGGCCGAGATAATCAAAACATCTAAGCTTTGCAAGCTGAAACAACTAAGATGATAATCTAATTTGCATATTTATTGAAAATCGTAGTCCGGACTAAATTATAGTAATCTCGGCGATAGGCGTGTAATGTTTAGAGTCATGTAGGCGTTTTAACTTCTTCCTCTCTATTATCCTAGGTGTAACTGATAGCGGCAAATAGATGTAGAACTTTCTTAGAATCAGTAATCATATATTGATATCCTCTACATAGCATGCTGTAGTGTGTAGCGTTTGGATTTCTATAGATAGGGCTAGGTATGGACAGGACACAACACATTCGGCTCATATGCTGCCCGAGTTCAAATTTCGTTATAAATAAAAATTGAACGAAGTTAACCAAACCATTGACGGCAATAAAAAGTTTGTTACAGTTGCTCTATCGCATTATACGAACAATTTACCGTAAATTGTAAACAAAACTAAAACTCATAGTGGGGAGGGACCGGCCCCCGTGCATGCATACGAAATGAGTCGGAACTCGGATCGTATATAACAATAAAATTAATAACAAGTAATTTATCCTTGTCCCTCAACTATCCATATACTGTCCGACGATACATTCAATAGTAACAAATACCTCGTAATAATACGTATAAATAATTAATAAAACTTTTACGTGTGACAACGAGAGTGACGCATTACAACGTCTACATAACAATGTTATTTATTCATTCACTCGAGTGAATAACAACGTATTTATACAATTTTTGTTTCTCAAAAACAATGAATAATTGAACATGTATTCAAGTAACGGGTACGGGCGTCTAGTGTTGTGTTCAGCCGTTACATAATAGTAACTTATATTATCTAAGAGTAATCTAAATAAACATTAGACAGATAAGATCGTAGCAAAATTAGTTTCGAAAAATTACTAAGTTTAGAGGATGATAACTAACTGACATTTAGATTTTTATTTGCATAGCTTATCACGATTTAGCATTAGTTTAGATTCGTAATTATTATTTTACACATTTTTAATATTAAAATAAACAATACATCGAGCTTGAAAAGTGTTATTTTAATAGTTTATTGAATATTCGCTATAATTATATTGTAATATATGTATGTATTTAATTTTAATTTTAAAGTTATGTCTCAATTATATTTTAAATATTTACACTGCTTAAATGATAATGTTATTGATACTAATATTTATTGTTGTTGTTGTATAATATTTTTGGATGCATCTATTTTACGCTACCTTCTTCGTGTTATTGTTATTATAAAGCGATTCAGTGTAACGTAAATAAAGTAAAAATGGCGCTACCACACGGGACGCTCCGGTATCCCGGCGGTCGGTCTAAGTAATCATCGAAGTTGATAGCAATAATTCATTGCTTTATAAATCACCACACCTCGCAATAATTTTTTGTCAAAATTAAGGTATTTTTATCGAAATTGTTACGTAATATAAGTTAACATTCGATCATTAAATCGCTACGTGTGCGACCGTCCTTATCGCCATCCTCTAAACTAGTCATACATAACGTAAGCTTGAAGTATTATATATATCGCGTCGTGTAAGTGTACCCTTAACGTGTGACCACCACTTTAGTTACCATTACACCCAATTACCGGAACGAACCCGTTCCGATTCTATATCTTCATTGAGCAAATGACTGTACATTCAGTACGGCAACTGTAATCGTTATTAGTATTCGGCCATTAAAATTGACTCCCCCTTACGTGATCCATTGCGTGTTTAAATATACTAATACAGAATGTATTATTCAGTAAATAACATCGTGTTCTTGATACAGTTTTGATGATTAAATCAATACGTAGACATAACATGTAATGATCTGGGCTAGCATTGCGCCGGGCGTGGCGTTAACGTGGCGGTGGCGCGACCGCGGCGTGTCCGTGGCGTGCCTGTGGCCCCCGTGCGTGTAGACACCCCTCTAACTACATTAATAAAGCTAGTCCATCATTTCGTGCGTGCAAACAATTTTAAATAGCCCGAAAACAGTAAACAGGAAACTATCAATTCCAAGTTTCCCCATAAAGATTCGATGAGTGGAGCTCAGGGCGATGTTCTTCCTCTTTTACTCCTCGTGTAATGATATTTTTTATATCTTTTGTTTTTCCCCTTCATGTTAATTTTGAATTAGACTATGAGTTCTTATCAGGGTTCCGCGTAACGTTTTTCCTTTCATGTGAAGAGTTTGTTTATTTAAGCGCGATTCTGTTGGCGGAACCCTCGTAGCTCCGTAGCCGGCTTTGTAGCTTTTTTATTTTGTTGCCGCAGGTGTAGTGGGAGTAATACCACCGGAAAGTCGTCTGTTGGTCGGTGCGGAGTACGTAAACGCGGGCGTGCTCGGCCAGAGCTCGTAGAGGCGCGCGCGCCGCCGCCGCTCGCCCGCCTGGGCCACGCCACGCCTTTACACCTCTCTTACACGGAACACCCGCTAAACGGCTCCCGGAAATTCTTACGAACATAAATAAATCTTTTCTCAAGCGAAATAGCTCTTTGATATTACCGCCCCACGTTCCCCTCTCGAATCAAGGAATGCAATGTCGCAAAAACAAATGTTTTTGTAAAGTAAGGCTCGATTTCGCAGATGCGTGTCATAATCGCCCGACTAGGTTTGCCCATATAGCACGATACAATTTGCTCAGATGAAACAATATTATAATATTGAATCAGTTCTAATATCACTGAGTTGCGGTATCCCTCAGGAAGTAATTCCAATATTTTTAAATTAAATACGTAAACTAAT